TAGATGCCGACTGAAGTGAATGAGGCTGTCTCTCGGAATTTTTTTCTTCTTTCCAAGCAACTAAACTTAACATAAATGTAATGACTGGAGCCATTGAAATGAGTCTTGCAAATTCACACTCAAACATACATGCAACAGATGAGAATAACTTGGCGCTGTGCACCCAACTCAAACTCGGAGATATGGTAGCTTGCAACTCAACTCAAATCCAAGTTCACTTCAGTTGGCTATGGCGCTGGGCGCCCTCACTTACACGTTCGACTCAGAGTTCACACACAACTCGACTCCGGATCACCCTGGATACCATGCACGCCAACCACTGCACACACACATACACACTCACTAACTGTCTATGGCTATGGCGCATGGCCACTAACAGCTAACTAGCCTATCACTAACTTCTGCCCACTTCGTCTTCAGGCCATCTGCAGACCTCCCTTGCACAAGACGCCCGAGCAGCGCTTCCGCAGAGCTTCCGCAGGAATGAATGAATAGCTGGACGCAGCCTCTTRATTTATACTTCTGTGTTGCATTCGTTTGCCTTGTATCCCTGGCCCATGAGGCACACAGTCCCCCCCGTGGTACTTGCTGGACCGGACTGGTACTTTCTAGACTTTCCCATGACTGCATAGTGACAGCCCTACGACGCAGTGCAGTCGCACTGGGGTCCTACTATTTGCCCTTGCCACTTGTCCTCGTCTCCAACATGGGCTTGCTTTAGTCACACCACTTGACCACTTGCCAACCTTCTAGAAGGACTGCAGCTGGACTTCTACTCTACAGGTCTATGGATCAAATCTTGGCTATCTAAGGACCTACGACAGACCTACTTACCACTGACGGTTCTACAGGTCGCAGGTTCAATTCTTCAAGTGGTCACAGATATTGTACACAGGTAAGTTGGGGAACTAGGGATCGAACCCTGGGTCCTATATCAGCTACTTCGAACTGGTGAATACCGTTTCACCATTATAAAGATGAATAAATTAGCACTACTTGGTAGAATAGGCTCTTTTATCATTAATTTCAAACCATCTGCTRAAGGTTGTAATAACCCAAACAATCCTACCACATTCGGACCTTTTCTACGCTGCATAGAAGCGNGCTCTTTTATCATTAATTTCAAACCATCTGCTGAAGGTTGTAATAACCCAAACAATCCTACCACATTCGGACCTTTTCTACGCTGCATAGAAGCGAAGTCTGTGGGGTAAATTGGCATACATTGCCATTAAATTCTTTGCTTCTGATTTCATAAACCACCAGTACACCCGGTTCCSGGGGGCCCARGGGCGCTTCTCTGCGTGCCAAGCTTTGCCGAACTGCGCACTTCTTTTCTTTGTTGGTTGACATCAGCAGTCATTGTGGTCTGGTAGGTCCGCAGCGCAAAATTTTTGGAGTYGGCGACGGAACGTTTTCTGCAAGGCTGGGGCCGTGTTGACGGGCTCAAGTTGTGGTAAGTTGGTGGCTGATGTTTGTGGAAGCACTGATCAGGCTAGGGTTGGTAGAAAAAAGGCCCATAATCAATTGGCTGTTTGTGGAGTGCAACAGCCAGTCGATAAACATTTTTAGTAGCTCTTTACTATTTATTTCTTGGCCTTAAAATATCGATAAGATGCGAACTCCTTTTCACCTCACCTTTCACGAGAGGTCGGTGAGAAGCTGTGGGACTGCAGGCMAGACGTTTGGGCGGACGGCAGGCGAGGCAAGGAGTTCAGAGGGCAGGCAAGGAGCTTGGACGGCAGGCAAGTAACCACAAAATTGCATGCAGAAGGCGGGTAAACTGAGCCCGGTTCTCAGCATGTTCTGTTCGGTCACTCCGGGTAGACTGTGAGGACCCGGGCCTCAATCTTTGTATTGGTAATATCAGCCTTGGGCACTGGGCCCGTTTAATATATATAAAAAAAAAAAAAAAAAAAAAAAAGGAAGGTCAAGCCAAGTCGGTGGGGACTGCAGGCAAGACGTTCGGGCGGACGGCAGGCGAGGAGTTCGGATGGCAGGCAAGGAGTTCAGAGGGCAGGCAAGGAGCTTGGACGGCAGGCAAGTAACCACAGAATTGCATGCAGAAGGGGGGTAGGAGGGTCAAGCCAAGTCGGTGGGTTGCCGCCACGAGGCATCCAGGTACTAGGCGGCATGTAGGCAGAGATAGGAGGGTTACAGGTAAGTTGGCAGGCAGCCAGGAATGGCAGGAAGACGAGCAGCAGGCTCTGTTTCTTTGTGCTACTGACACTGGGTGTGGCTGAAGGACAATCTCATGGGGGGTTTGGGAGACAAATATTGCAGAGAAGAGACTGTCCGTTGGACGAGTGGCCGCCAGTCCACTCTATATATAACTTATCCCTCTTCAAACACGTCTGCATTTGTGTTGATTTTTCAGGTACAAGTTCTTTTCATTTCAGGTTTGCCTCATGCTTGTTTTTCAAATTGGGACAACAGGTGTGGGGAAGGGCGGGGTGCAGGGGAGGGGGGTGCACTTGCTCCAAGAGGCCAACAGAGCACAGTGAGAAGTCTCTCTGTCGTTGCAAGAGGGTGATGACCCTAAGGACGACCTTAAGATGAGCACTTTCTCTGGGCCACTTTTTAGCAGAGGAGGGTCCCAGAGGTGAAGAGGGATTGCTGGGATTAAATAACATTGCCACTCTTGGCATTAAATAACATCGCCACTAACTATCTGGCACAGAGAATACTATGGGGGGATGCTCGTACCCCTCCCCATAATAGGCTTGGCCCGGTATTGGAATGAAAAAAGAAAACAAACAAATATTGCCACTCTCTGTATGCACATGTTGTTTATAATTAAAGACATTAATTATGTACCTGATTACACTCTTGGAAGATCATGGGGGGCTCATCAGTTCACAACTTCACACCCACTCTGACACTCTAAGCCTGGCCACACCTCCCCCGTCCGCTGATCTTTTCTTTTCTGAAAAAAATGAAAAAGGGCGATGGCCTTGAGATATTGTCGATGAGATGAGTAGCCCCAGGTATTCAACCACCACCAGTACTTCCGAGCCTGGCTTTCGGGGATCTGCAGCCAGATAAAAATGGCTGGCGGCGGCCGCAAAAACCTATGTAATTTTCTATATGGGACGCTGGGCCCGGTTCCTAGCACGTGTTGCTCCCCACGAATAGATTGGAGCTTTGTTCCCATTAAAAAAAAAAAAAAAAAAAAAAAAAAAAAAAAAAAAAAAAAAAAAA